TAATCCCTTCTATAGGGTGGCAATGGACCTGGACCCGACTCAGGACCCAACAGTAGGCCCGACCAAGGTCAAGGTATGGGTCCAAAAATTGGACCCAGCCAGTCGAGTCCGGGTCCAAATCTTGGTCCCAAACACTATTCAACGCCAAGTCCGGGTCTGAGTCTGATCAAGTCCAGTCGAGTATGGGTCCGGGTTCGTGTTCGGGTCCCACATTATGTTTCAGGTCCCAATTTATGAAATATATTTAAAGATCTAAATATTTTTATTTTTAGGTTGGTCCAGTCGGGTCTGGGTCCAGTGACTTTGGGTCCCAATCTGGGTCTAGGTCCCATAATATTTTTTCAGGACCCGACCCGACCCGTTGCCACCCCTATCCCTTGGTGCTGCTTTCTCAACACCATGGAGGTTGGTCATTTTTCTAAAAGGTTTTTTCTTTTAGAAAAATTCTTTCTTTTTCTTTGGGGAGTACATATCTTTGGCTTGCTGGACATCTAACCCAATGTTATTTCTGAATATCAAAAAACAAAACAAATAGAGTAAATGTACAAATAGGAGCTAATGAGGGAAACTATGCCAGAAAAACTCAATGGGATGAACGGTGATGGAGAGAGTGGAATTTATTTCATCCTAGTAGACTTTCTTTTTTTACTAGGAATGTTTGTCCAGGGTTTCTATCCCTGAACATGGAGGGATAATATATTCACTTTGTTTGACTTAAGTGGTTCAAGCAAATAACGGTTATAGCCTGCTTCCTTTGGGTTAGGTACAAAGATTTTATTTATTGAGAATTCTTGTTCAGCATTCTAAACCCTACATCGTAGGATAATATTAGTTCGCTAAAATTGAGTGCCTCGAGTAAAATGATAGTTTTACTGCTCCTGTTACAAGGTTAAAAACCAAAACTCATTTTTTTTAGTTAGAAATCATTGTTATCCTAACCCTAAACAAGTACGGATATTTATGTTATATGACTGAAGTTACTAAGTACTGCCAAAGCACCAAAATGCCTCTACTTGTTTGAATTAGGGTTTAGAATTCAAAATAAGGGATATAACTAAGAGAAATTTTTTGACGTACTTGAGTGAAAGGAATTCTCTAAACGACTACCTTAATGATTTTTCCGTTTGGTTTGACCATTTTCGTATATTTTTTGGCTCTTATTTTAATAATAAATCTCTACCATTTTTTAAAAATAAAGAAAAAGTTTATATTAGGTTACAACCTTAAAATATGGAATTAAAGATGCACCTTAAAAATTCGTCAGGTTGTTTTAATATTGAAAAGCACTCTAATTGTTTATCCCAGACATAGTACATCTTACAATACAATATCTAGACCGCCCATTTTCAAGATTTTCATATATTTATCTACTTGATTTTAACCATTTTTTGAGTTTAAAGTTTAATAATTAGATATGATAAAATTTGGAGGTGCAGCTTAATTGGATTATTTAAGGATGCAACCTTATAGAAACCACACCCTTTAAATAATTGGTTAACTATAAGACCATTTATTCATGGTACAAAGATATCACAATTACCCATCGTCGTCAAATATGAAATCTGACAACTATAAGTGTGTCACAGAGTTTGAAGTTTTCTTTTTTTTTTCTTTTTTTAAAATGTGATCGTAGGCTGTGATACCCCCAATTGCCTGATTTCACATCCGCCTGCCAAGATTGATTGCAACATACTAAATGGTCCTATTAGGTATATTTCTTTAATATAATAGCATGTGCATCTTCTCTTTTATATAGAACCTTTTTTTGTTTTTTTAAGTAATTTAGGGGGGAAGACAGCCCCTACCCATTTTTTCAAGTAAATTAAAAGTTAGCTTTTGATGGTGTTAATGGGATGTTGTTGTTGGTAATGGGATCTATAGAACCTCACCTCCTATAATTTGTGAATGCATCATCTTTTTGCTAAAAATTTGTGCATGCGTTAGCTCTTCTAAATTGTGCGTCCTAATTATTTGCGTGCATTAACTCTCTTTACTCTTTCTTTAATTTCTTTTTCTCCTTCCTTATTTATATGGAAATTATGCTGCAGAATTAAAAATTTCCTGATATTAAAGGTAGTTGATAATAACTCTCTTATATATACTCTTTTGGGAAAGAGTCTGCCTCTCTGTGCTGCTTGACTACTGGAGGCACGTTTGGTTAGTTACATATGTAAACACTTCACAGGAAAAGCTTTTGTAAATATTATTTTCACCATGTTTATTAACACATTTAAAAAGTATTGTGGAATGAATTACATATATCTCGTAACTTGTTTGATATTTAAATATATTTTGTAGATATATTAAATCTATATATAAAATGTTTAAATATTATGATTAAAAATATATAAGTTATATTTATTTAAATTCTATTTAAATATTATAAATTAAATATTTTTTATATATTTTTATAATAATATAAAATATTATATTATATATTATATTATAAATATCTATTACATAAATAAAATATATTATATAATAAAATATGTTATGCATAATATATACAAAATAAAAATATATTATATAATAAAATATGTTATGTATAATATATACAAAATAAATATATATTATACATAATTTAAATATTTATTAATGTTATAAATATGAATATATATTATATTATAATATACATAAATATATATACTGTATTAATAGATCATATAAATATTATATATCATATACATGGGATAAAGTTCATGTAAGGTTGCAACCTTAAAATGTAGAATTAAAGATACACCTCAAAAATCCATTGAAAAAGGTTGTTTTAATGTTGAAAAACCCTCTAATTGATCATCTTGACATCGAGATGTATGAATATGAAAAAAAAAAATAATAATAATAATAATTTTGAGTCCTAAAAATAGTGCATCTTGCAACACATTATCTAGACCGTCCATTTTCAAAATTTTCACATGTTTATAGATCTACTTGATTTTAACTATTTTTTGAGTTTAAAATTTTATAATTAGATATGAAAATAGATTTTAACATAATCCTAAGAATGTTTTACACCAAAATTGCATGTTATGATAAACTTTGGAGGTGCGACTTAATTGGATTGTTTAAGGTTGAAACCTTATAGAAACCACACCCATATACATAATTAAAAATATATATATGGGATCGTCAATCCATATCAACGATTTACCATTTCATGATTCCAATCCACTTTCCTGAACAGTCGGTTCACCCAACTGATCCAAGTTTTAGACCACTGCCATCAACAATCGAAGAGTTGGATCCTGTTAAATTTATATATTGAATTTAGGTAAATAGGTATTTTCTACATACTTAAGGGATTGTATACAACAAGGCCATTTAACTTTGATATAAAGAAGTCACAATTACTTATAACCATCCTATGTGAAATATGATAGGTTGGGTGTCTCACAAGGTTTGAGAAAATTTCTTTTGAAGTTTGAGCTTCCTTAATGAAATAAATACAATCAACCAACTTCACATCCATTGGTGAAGATTAATTTTTACTTGTGCTAAGGATTGATAGTCTTATTGTATAAATATTTTTTTACTTTAAAAAAAGAAAAATATTAGAAGAAAACTTATGGCCCTAGGGATTTGGATAAAATAAATAAATAAAAAAAAAAAAAGGTAGAAGTCAATGAGGATTTGGGCCCGTACCCTTTGGTGTGAATGAATTTTTGTACATGATTTTAGTGATCCCAAGATTGTATTTGCCCATGAAATTATAGAAGGGAACCACCTCATTTCCCCCTTTTTCTTCTCAACGTATTTACAGCCAAAAAAACAAAACCCTAAATTTTCTGTCCTTTATAAGAGATAGTCTTTGGACCATTCAAGCTTGTCAAATTGACCGATTTTGTCTCCCTCGTGCCGTTTATAGTCATGGATCAAAGGGGATAAAATTGGAAAACAATAAAACCGCCATGGAAGCTATTATTAGTTAAGTTACACAAGGACCAACTCATGGTGAAACCAACTATCAAAAAAGTTCCTATTAATCCAGGTAATTGCAGGAATGCCCATCAATGGCAAAAGGCACTTTTTATGAATTTCAATTATCGAGATGACCAAAATGACCTCTTGATATTTTGGAAAGCATGGCCCAATCCTAAAAGAAACTAAATGTAAGGAAAATCAACAATTGGCTCGTTAAGAACAACAAAAAACAATAATAAATAGGAAGAATATATAGAGTGACCATTTACTTTAAGTATAAGAAGGTCACTATCACTCATATTTGTCAGATTTTAAATCAGATGGTTGTAAATCTAACTGTTATATCAAACTTAGTATTACTGAGTTACTTTTTCTAGTGATAAAAATGTCTAGAACATCATTTACCCAAAAAAAGCACCAACGCAAAATTATCCATCCTGATACCTTCAGAAAAGGTAAAAATATCTTCAAATGGGATTGCAAGTTGCACCCATATTCTGTAAATAAGAAGAGCAAAAATGTTTATACAAAGAATACCTTATGCATCAAAAAAGCAAGACGCACTTCAAAAACTCATTGAAAAAGATTATTATGCCGCTTGAAAACCTTCATATTAGTAATCTCGACCTCGAGATATATGGACATGAAAAAAAATGATTTGAAATCTTAACAATAATGCATCTTGTTATATAATATTTGGACTGTTTTTCAAGAATTTAAAATATATATAGATCTACTCAATTTAGGCCATTTTTTAAATTTTAAATTTCATAAATAGGGGTAAAATAGATTTTTGTAATACCATCGCATAAATTTCTATCATGAAAACTACATCTTCTCATTAGATTTGGGGGTCACTTTTCTTATTTAAGCGCATTGAACCATACCCTAATGAGAAAAATTAGGGTAACAGCAAAAACAAACCACTGGTAAACTACTGGGTAAAGGACAATTCGGTCAAGCCCCCAGGAAAATACAAGCCCTTCCCAACTAACCCACTCCAAGGGCATAGGGAAAACCCAACAAACAACGAGGGCAATCCCCAAAACTCCCATATATAACCATCCTCCCCTCCAACTCAAAAGGAGGAAATAGAAGGTGGGAGCAAACCCACCCAGGCCTGCACCAGCAAGCTTGGTGTGGTTTATTTCAACCCTTCCATTCTCCCTCGTTTTACCCCTATTAACCCCTAACCCTCGTTCTAACCCCACAAGATGTCTTTCTCTTTGAGAATTGCCCTATGCCTTATCCCCCTCATAGGGGTAGTCTCACCATTTCCCTTTGCCTTTCTTCCGTTCCCGAAGTTGCCAGACCTGCCAGGTTTGCCCCCGAACCCCTTCTTCCCACCGGTTCAAGATGCACCAAGCCCCCCAGAACCCTTCTCGCTACCAGTCGAAGACGACCCACAGGCAAAACCGGCTAGAACCGAACGAATGAAGACTGACCCGGTTTACCCAACCGATTTTGCCGGTTCTTGGGAGCTGGCCAGCGCTAACACGGGGATATCTGCAATGCACGTGCAGCTGATGCCAAGTGGGAAAGTTGTGATGTTTGATGCCTCAGTTTTTGGGCCGTCGAAGATTAAATTGGACGGAGGGAGGTGCCGAATAGATAAAAGAGAGAGAAGGAAGGGCAACAATGATTGCTGGGCCCACGCGGTGGAATACGATGTCGATACGGCTGCGGTGAGGCCTCTGATGGTGAAGACGAACACGTGGTGCTCATCGGGGGCCCTGGGGGCCGATGGACGGCTCATACAGACCGGAGGTTTCAATGAAGGTGAGAGAGAGAGAGGGGGGTTCTCGTATGTCTATCTTTTGTTACTTTCTTACGATAAAAGCAAAGGTTCTGCATTTGCATGGACGATAAAGCTTTAGAAGCACGTACCTTGCCAGCTAGTGGTGCCCGGCCGGGCCAGGCCCTGTGGGGTGGGGTCATCCTTGACCCTAACCCACTCCATGCTTGGCCCTAGTCTTATTGCGGACCAGACTGGCTTAGGTCCTGCAAGGCAAAACAAAAAAAATATGCAAATAAGTAAAAAAATAAGGGTTGGATCGTGCTTGTCTTAACCTGACTCCGGCACGACCCAAGCCCCAAGTTTTTAGGGATGGACAGGGATAATCGAGTTTGGAGCTTTCAAAAATAGTATTGATCAGGATACTTGACAATAGATGGTAATAGTATTTTACAAATATATGTTTTTAGAATTTAAATTTTCATTTTGAATCATAATTGTTGAGGTCAAAAAAAATCAATTTAATATTTTTCTATACACAATTTTCGGCTTAATTTAAGCCGCAATTCCAAATTATCAGGCCTAACGTAAACCTTTCCCTTAGATATAAAGAATTACAGCAAGGAAAATGTTTCAAAGCGATAAATCCATAGGCGCACGTGTTTTGGGTGGTAGAATCAAAACATTGGGTGTGATGAGTGGTCAAGTTTGCCGGCCACTAAATTACTTGGACTTTTAATGCATTTGTGTACAAGCTAATGTTCTTTTTAAAGGTGCCAAAATACGGTGGGGCCCTTGTCTTGTGTGGTGATCGTGTAGGACCAAATTTAAGGAACCAAGCTGCGCGTTTGGTTTTTTTACGGTAAGCAGCACCTAATACTTTAATCATCATTATTATTTTAATTATTTTTAATTAATTGGAGTGGGTTACATGAATTCTGGTTTTTCATTCTGTTCTATTAAAAACCATATGCCTAATGTTTTAATCAATGTTTTAAAAATTGACGAGTCAGAACTATCAAAGCCACCAGTGAGCTACTAATATGCGTGTTCTAAAACCCCTCAGTTCTCACTAGTTAGTTTTTTATTATTATTTTTATTTTTCAATAGGAGAAACCCTCGGGCTCAAGTGGTTATAAGTCCAATTGGCGCCACCCACTCGATTTTTAAAACACTGGTTTTAATTATATGGTCATGATTAACATAAAACCCATATTAAATCCATGCCATATGTGTCAAAAAAAAACAATTTGTCATATGTGCCAAAAAAAAAAAATTTGTTTATATCATGCCAAAATATTATTAGTTTTTTATGTTCTTGCATGACCATATCATACATTCACAAACCCTGTTACAATTATAATTAGGATCCTCGGGATGTATCCTCTAGCCTATCAACAAACCCAATAAATTATAAAAATAACTTAATGCATTCTCCTTATATGTTTGAAAAAAAAAGAGAGAGAAGTCCTAGAATAAAATGGTAAATGGACGGTGTAGATCTTGAACATTTATGGGACTCAAAATCTTGAACATAGGCGGTGTAGATAACGTGCTGCAAGATGCACTATTTATGGGATGTAAAATCTTTTTAATTATTTATTTATTTATTTATTTATACATCTCATGTCGAGATGATCGATAAGAAGGCTTTTCAACATTAAACAACATTTTCCGATTGGATTATATATATATATATATACGTCTCGATGTCGAGATGATCAATTAGAGGGTTTTTCAACATTAAAACAACCTTTTCTTATTGGATTTTTGAGGTGCATGTTTGATTATACATTTTAAAGAGCAACCTTGTATAAACTTTTTTCCTTTTTTTTCCTTTTTTTCTTTTTTTTAAATGTCAGGTTAGAGGTTTGTTGGTGTGCTTATTTTGTGATCTCACAAGTTCATCTTAAAAAACATGATCCTTCACTCTGCACCTTGCACCATCCTTTCTATCCTATTTACCGACGATTCTCTTCTCTATTTTCTTCTTGTGCAGGGGGGAATGTTGTTCGATTGTACGAATCTTGCAAGGACTGTGATTGGGTAGAGAAACCGAATTCTCTTTCCGGCCAGCGGTGGTACTCCTCCGACCACATCCTCCCAGACGGCAACGTGATCATCGTCGGCGGCCGCCGGAAGTTCAGCTATGAGTTCATCCCGGCAGAGGGAAATTCTGAGCTCAAAGTCTATGACCTCCCATTCCTCAAGGAGACGACTGACGACGTCGAGAACAATCTCTACCCTTTCCTCCACCTCTCGACAGACGGGAACCTCTTCGTTTTCGCCAACGACAGGTCGATTCTACTGGACTACAAGAACAACCGCATAGTCAGGACATTTCCTGTATTGCCAGGAGGCTCCAGGAATTACCCGGCCTCAGGCTCTGCCGTGCTCCTCCCAATCCGTTTGAGAGGCCGCGAGAATCTCATCCCCTCGGAGGTCCTCATCTGCGGTGGTGCCACCCCTGAATCTGCGAGCCAGGCGGACCGGGGAGTATTTGTCGACGCGCTCGACACTTGTGGAAGGATCACCATCACAGATCCTAATTCGCAATGGAAAATCGAGCGAATGCCAAGCCGCAGGGTCATGGGGGACATGCTCATTCTCCCGAATGCTCAGGTGCTTATCATCAATGGTGCAAAGAGTGGCACCTCCGGGTGGAGCTTTGCAAGAAACCCTAACCTCAGCCCAGTCCTCTACAACCCGAGAAACCCCAGGAACCAGAGGTTCCAGACATTGAACCCAAGCACCATCCCACGCATGTACCACTCATCCGGCGTTGTCCTACCGGATGGGAAAGTTTTGATCGCTGGTAGCAACACAAATCCTAAGTATAATTACACATCCCTTTATCCAACAGAGCTGCGGGCCGAGAAATTCTCACCGCCCTACCTCGATCCATCTTTGGCAAGCCATAGGCCAAATATATTGACCGAGCTAATGCCGAAGGCCTTGGCCTACGGGGGAGGCTTCAAGATCCAAATAAGCCTCTCAGACCAAATTGTTGCAGACACCGATCTCAGTGTGACCATGTATGCGCCGCCTTTTACGACGCACTCATACTCGCAGAATCAGAGAATGCTCGTGTTGAGGATGAATGATGTGGAGCAAGTTGCACCCGGGACTTACCAGATCTCAGTGGTGGCACCGCCCTCAGCGGTGGTTGCACCACCGGGGTATTATCTGCTGTTTGTGGTGCACTTCGGGGTACCCAGTGAGGGAGTGTGGGTACATATCAATTAGATGACTTTGGCTATGGCTTTGGCTTTTGGATTGCTGGTTGGGTTTTTTTTTTTTCATTATTACTTCTTGCATACTGATTTATTCTTTATACATTTTAGGGGTCTTTTTCTTTGATTCATTCCCTTATTGTTTCTAGGTTTTCTCTTTTCTTTTTTTGCTTTTTTTTTTTCCTTTTTTTTTTATTTTTTTTAGTGGAGCACACTGGAGTTGGGTTTGTATATGTAGCTTGCATATAAACCTTTCCTCTAATGAGGTGTTTTCTATTTCTCAATATCTAATTTTTATTCTAATTATTATGATTTCAAGTATGCTCTGGAGATTGGGATTTGCTTTTGCCTACTAAATAAAATTCAACATTTAAATGAAAGAGAAAAATTATTGGGAAATTTACTGACTTTCTTGTGGAAAATGATATACAAGCATTCAGAAAGAAAGGACAAAAAGTAGGCTAGGGATGTTTGCTTTTTTGGGACAAGCTTCCGAGGGTTTACACTCTTGACCTCCCTCGTACAGACTCGATGCTCTAGTCCCCTCCATTTGAGCTCAGAATATGTGAAAATTATGGGTTTTGTCTGTTGCTTTTATGATTCTTTTATTTTGTGAATTTCAATTTGTTTGTTTTATGATTCTTTTATTCTAATCCACCGAGCATTTCACAGTGGATTTTGTCTATTTAACCCAGTATGGACTGACCATTTCATCACGAGTAAAAGTATTTTCGGTTTTTTTTTTTTCGGGTGGGTGAGTAAAACTATCTTCTCCTTTGCCCATTTGTGAATAGTTTTATGAAGGGATATGTTATTAGGGGTGGCAATGGACCCGGACCCGATTCAGGACCCAAGGGGTAGACTCAATCTAGGTTTGGGTGTGGGTCCAAAAATTGGACCCGGCAGGTTGGTTCTGGGTCCAAGAACACTATTTAGGTATGGATCCAGATCCAAGTCCGGTAATATTTTTTGTGTCCCAATGTATTAAATATATTTAAACATAGTTAAATACATAGATATTTTAATTTTTTAGTCCGATCCGGTTCCGAGTTCGGATCCCACACTATATTTTCGAGTCCGATTCCAGTGAATTCGGGTTCCATATAATTATTTTTTTGGGCCAGGTCAGGGCCTGGCCAACCCCATTGCCACCCCTATTTGTTATGCTTCAGTTAGCATAAATGGGGCTTCTTTCTAAACCCACTTATTTGGGGAAAAACTACAAAATGCCTACAAACCTACTGAAGAAACATGGTGTTCACTTATAAATCAATGCAATATCTTCAGCATCTAATTTCACATCCCACAACCGAAGGCAATTGTGACCTTCTTTGTCTTATTGTTTTTTCCAAAAGAAATTAGGTCTTTTGTTAGACCTACTTTTTTATGCCTTCTTTCAATAAAGGAAATGTACATCATAATCATGAAAATCATGGGAAGACCAATGTTCTTAGGATCGTTGCAGTCCATTATTTTGATCGACGGTGTTGGAGCAACAGTGGATACACCAGAACAAGACAAAACCCCAGTGTTCAGTTCCACTTTTTCTTCATCATCGTCCATCCAAATGGTGGGTGGCGATGCCCCCAAGTACTATAGTTTTCTCCATAGCTCATAGGTTTACAACATCTTTCTCTTAAGCAGGCGTTTTTTTATCATAAGCACTATTTGCTTTTGGAACATGATGTTATCAACACCAGATATATGGATAAATGGAAGGGATGATATTTCATGTACAAGCTAAGCACAAATTTTCTAGTTGCATCTTCACTGTCTCAACCATTATAAATGCTTCAAATAAGGTTCAACTAATCATTGGTTTAAAATCACCTAGTCGATTTAAAATCGTCTTAGTTCAAACTTACAAATTCTAGAATTTCTTTAATCTAGTATTTTTTAATTATCTGTCAATTTTTCATATTTAAAATCCCCTTATCCGACTCACACACATCCGAGTCCGACAAGGGACTTGGACTCGGAACGTTAGCGAGTTAGATGAGTCGGAGCATGAGTTTAACTTTTTAACACTAAAATTAAGTTACAGTGGTTGTGAATTACCTCTGAAATACGGGACTAATGCTTGTGATGCTCTACAAAAGATTAAGATGCAGCAACTCAAAAAGGTTTTATGTGTAGGTTGTATAAGTTTTATGTGCAAATCTCAAATATGGGAAATTATCATAAATATACATTAATTTCTATCTAATTGGAAAAATACATTTAACTTTTATAAACTTCGTCTACACCCTTTTTTTAAAATTTTGGCATTGTTTTTTACCAAATTAGCTTTAACGGTAGTCATATTACAGTACAGGCCCTATCATAAAGTACCGTAATGCGATAGTCGTTACGATAATATGTCTATTGTGAAGGCTATTTTGGTAAAAAAAAATCCAAATTGAGAAAAAAATGGTGTAGGCGAGGTTTATGAAAGTTGAGGGTTTTTTTTCAATTAAACAAAAATTAAAGTATATTTCTGATAATTTCCCTACATATAAACCTATAAGATGTGGTTAGCATATGGCCAAGCCCATACATGTAGAAATGCGGGCTTGGCAATAAATATATTTTTAAGATATAATTTGATCCTAACTTTTAGAGAATATATAATCTTCAACATGGAGATCATGAATATAAATAAATTTTAAAAACTAAAAATAATAATTATATGAAGAAAATATTTGAACCGTTAGTTGCAATTGTTTTTAGATGATCCATCTAAACACCCCACTGTTCAACTATTAAACATTTTACCCTTTTTCTACTATTCCAAGTCAAAATCAATTGTATTTTAAAGGGCACTTTAAATTTAGATAAAACTATAGAACACGATGTTGGTGACCCACCAGACTCACGTATTATCATGCAGTCCCTTGTCTATCTTGTGTCCCATCTGTAAAATAGATATCAAAAAAAAGTTACATCTACTAAAAGTTAAAATGGACGGTGAAGAAAAGAATTCTAAAAATGACATTTTTTTGAAAAATAAATTATATCATTGTCATGGTTGAGATTATCGAACCCTAAAATTTTGGATCGAAAATACATCTTTGAGATATATTTTTTAGGGAACCCGCACAAAAATAGTATGAATCGGCCTACTTACCACACTTTTCCGAAACTATTTGGGTAAACATAAGTGAATTTTGACAAATGTCCCTTTTTTTAATGGGGTAACTAAAAGAAATATTGCATGGAACTAAACTTCACATATTAATTGCTAAAAGCTCGTCTCTATTTCGTCATCATCATCGTCAAAGCTTTTTCCAACTAATTGGGGTCGGCTTCATGAATCTTAATCCGTTATTTTGCTCTTTTATGAGTCATACCCTCAGTGAAGCTATAAGTCGCCATATATTTTTTCACTACATTCAACTATGTATTTTCGAGCCTACCCTTTGTTCTTTTTAAGCTTTCTACTTTAACTAATTTACACCTCCTAAGAGGTGTTATACTGGGTCTACGCCACACATGGCCACCTCGCCTAAGTCTATTTTTTTTTATCTTATCGTCCGTTGGTACCACACCTAAAATGTTTCGAATGTATTTATTTCAAATTATATCCCTTTTTGTCTTGACACTCATCTATCTCAACATCTTCATCTCCGCTATATTCGATCTATGGGTATATTATTTCTTGATCGCCCAAAATTCCACCCTATATAGCAAAGCTAGTCACACAGTTGATGTATAGAACTTGCCATTCAGCTTCATTGGTATGTGGCGATCACATAAAATTTCGGTTACACATCTCCACTTCACCTACCCAGCTCTAATTCTATGTGTGATATCTTCTTCAATATCTTTATTTTCTTGGATTTTCAACCATAGATCTCGATAGTATGCTCTTTTTTATATTTCCTGACTGTCAATCTTCTTCCTCGTCTCTACTTCTATTATTATTAAACTTGTAACTATATACTTCGTCTTAGTTCGGCTAATTTTAAAACCTTTAGATTCTAAAACATCCCTCCAAAGTTCTAACTTTGTGTTGACGGCGCTTTGAATCTCATCAATCAAAATTATGTCATCTGAGAATAACATGTACCATGATATCTCATCTTGCAAATGCATAGTTAAGTCGTCCACAACTAAAACAAAAAAATATGAGCTCAACATTAACCCCCTGATGTAAACCTATTGTTACAAAAAACTCATTGTCTCCCTACTAATTGTTCGTACACTAGTTAGCGCTCTATCATAGAAATATCTCACCAAGTCGATGTAGTGTTTAAAGACTCATTTCATTTACAACATCTACCAAATCAAATCTCAAGATACTCTATCATAAGCTTTCTTTAAATCAAATATCAATAAGCTCTTAATGGAGTTTATCTCTCTTTAAGTGTTTTTCATAATTCAAAATAATAATAAAAAGCGATGTTTGTTTGCATCGAAAACATAAAAAGAAAATATTTTGATAACGTGATAATCAATCGCAAAAGTGGATTAATCATCTACTTATAACTGATTGTGCAAAATATTCACTAACTTTCACTGAGGGAATTGGGGCGCGAGATGACCCGAGCACAAGTCGAGTCCCAACAGGAAAAAAGAGCAGGAGTGTGAACCGTCTATTTATGAACAAAGCAAGGCAATCCCTTCAGGGCCATCCGAGACCTGGAAAATAATTTAAAGCCAACTCATTAATTTTCTAAGGGAAATTTAGATATAAATCTTGTTTTATTTATTTTTCAATCATTGGTTAAAATAGAAAGAAAAAAGTTTATATAAGGTTGCAACTTAGAACTACAAATGCACCTCAAAAATCAATCAAAAAATGTTGTTTTAATGTTGAAAAACCCTCTAATTGATCATCTCGACAACTAGATATAAGAATATGAAAAAAAATATCGAGTTCCATAAATAATTCATCTTGCAACATATTATCTAAACCATTCATTTTTAAGATTTTCATATGTTTATATATCTACTTGATTTTAACCATATTTAGAGTTTAAAATTTTATAATTAGATACAAAAATAGATTTTCAAATAATTCTAAGAAAAAAATTACACCAAAATTACATCTTAATATAAAATTCGGAGGTGGGCCTTATTTGGATTGTTTAAGGTTGCAACCTTAGAGCAACCTCTATGCTTTTTCTTCTTTTTTTTTGAAAGCTAAGGGTAGTAGTGGGTTAGCAATTTTTAAAAGAAAACGTTTATATAAGGTTGCAACCTTAAAATGTAGAATTACGTATGCACCTCAAAAATCCATCGAAAAAGGTTGTTTTAATGTTAAAAAACCCTCTAACTGATCATCTCGACAATAAGATATATGAATATAGAAAAAAAAAAAAAAAAATTTGAGTCCCAAAAATACTGCATCTTACACATTGTCTAGACCGTCCACTTTCAAGATTTTCATATGTTTATAGATCTACTTGATTTTAACCATTTTTGGAGTTTAAGATTTTATAATTAGATATGGAAATAGATTTTCAAATAATCCTAAAAAAATTTTACACCAAAAACATTTGCTATAATAAAAACCACACCCTTTTTTAAACCGTTGATAGTTTTCGACAGTGGTCAGCTTTGGTAAGAATGGAAACTGAGGCTAGTGGCTGAGTCACAGGACCACCTTGACCTCAACCCCATTCCTAATTGACAACCTACAGGTTGGATTAAGGAAGACAGACCCACATTTTGTTTCATTTGAGTAACATCATTGATTTTGGGCCTGGACATGGCCAAGACCAGTGTGAGCCCAGCCTAATACCCTAAAGGGCCAACCCATGTAGGGCCACAGTGGGCCCAGCACAATCCTGGCCCTATTCTTGGGCTAGGTGGCCTCCCCTAGGCAAGAGATATCACTTACTTCAAAATTCATAAGGCAAAAAGAAGAGGCAGGATTGGGCCGAGGCCATGAGGCTAAGCCGAGCCGGGCCAAGATCCATGGCCAAGACCTAAACTCGCTTAATCCCAACATTGGACCTATATTCTAGGCCCATGCCAACCCCTTGGACCAGATCCAGTGGGCCTAGCTCAACTCGAACCGTTCCAGGCATGCCCAACCCTGCCAGGCTCATTACCACCCACCCCTGGTTTTTCGTAAAAAATAAAAAAAAAACGTTTATAAGCTTGTTAAGGAAGAATAAAGTTTTTTCCTTTTTTTTTTTTTATTTTTTTTTTTTTTGTGCTTTAGTCATTGTGCTTCCTCTCCACTAATTTCAACCAATTAAAGCCTACCTACCAATAACTAGCAAATTGCGTATCACGTCGAATGAGAAAAGGCTAGCAATCAATTGTGACCCCTCCCTCTCATCGTCTCAAGCACGTACTCGTTGACAACCACAAAACTCACACTCTAACCTAGTCAACCCCACAAACCTTACATTCCAAAAGGCATCCTTATTTTCATTGAAAATGACAAGATACCCTTACCTTGCCCACCTTCAAGAGATCAAGTCTTGGGCATATCCAAACCAGGCAAATTACATATGAAGAGAGAGAGGAAATGGGTTTTTTTGGGGATGTGGCCACTATTTTAAATTGGTGTGGAATGGATCTTGATATCAAGGATTTTTTTTTCAGTTTCATATTAGGCAAAAAGCCCTTAAACACCTTGATTTCACACAAAATGGAAAAATACATCTAGTTTCCAAAAAAGCCAGAAAGCCACTAAATATTGGAGTGTTCTTGTCATTTGTCTAAATGATTTAGGGCCTCTTAATCGTCCTCCCTAATATCAATCCATTGGCATACCCTCCAGGAAAATATTCACTGGTTTAGGTACCATCCTTTCAATGACCTCATGTCCTAATATGTCAGAAGAACTTAGTCATTTTATGTTTAATCAAATATGGAAATTAAAATAAGCAATTAAAAAAATGAAAAACCAGGTCCATTCATGCACCCTGCACCACCATTTAAGGTACATACACGTTAGAAAATATAAAATTAAGGAACCAGTTCATTGGTTTGCTTGCACTATATATATGCATGCCTCCATGTGTAAAAAATGAAGCTCAAATTCAGCTCTGGTGTTCCCCTCATTTTGAGCATTGGAGAAGAGAAATGGCCAAATACCAGCTTTTGTTGTTGGCTTTCTTGTCCCTGGTTGCCATGAAACCCCAAATAGTTTTCGGTAATTTTCAGGAGGATATGGTGTTTAATTGGGGTGCACCACACTCATCCATTTTCAACAATGGACAGAATATGCAGCTTCAACTTGACCGTTATTCTGGTAAATTTACCGTCTCTACTCTTACAATTGGGTTTCCTTTAGGGGCCATTTGGATCCCTCTATAAAAGAATACGTGAAAAAATCTATTTCCTTTGAAAGATATTTATTGAGAAAAGTATTTCATAGTGTTTTGAAGCTCATAGAACACTTGGACTTTTCCCATTTCAAGAAATTACTGAATATGACTCTCTCTCTCTCTCTCAAATGGTGTGGGTCACTCAAAGGGCGGGCAGGTCTGGTTCTTGAGAAATATATCTCAAGGGTGAGAGATTTTCACTGACCAAGCTACTTTTTCATTTGTTGCATGGGAAAGCGAAGGCCAGGAAATCTAAAATGTTCATGCCACTATACAAAATAGTGGAGTTCCATGAGAAACCAATTTTGTACCTTAGAAACTAGCAGCATTTCATGGGAAAGCGGATTCCAAGATATATATTCTATTGGAAATGTGCTTTATGAATAGGGGCACTACATAACCACATTTGTATCCCCAAGGTATTACACGTCCATCTTAAGGATGGATGTACAATGGTCGGTCCATAAAAGATAAAAACCAATGGTATAAGAAAATTTTCAAAAAAGATGATCATTTTTAGTTTCTAAAGTTTTTATTTTGTTTTTCTTTTGTTTTACGATATTAATGATCTCCATGTTAAAGGTTATATATACATAAAAAATTAAATCCAAAATACATCTCAAAAATGGGTCATAAAAGAGGGATGTGTATCTACAAATGAGTCCTAGGGCTCACAAAAACTGTCTCATGAGAATTTATTAAGTACTTTCATTTTATGGGACCAAATAGCTTGCAGGGGACCAAATAGCATATTGAGTCCCACAAACAAATCGCCTAATTAGGGTTGTTTTTATGAACTGAAATAAGTCAATACATCTTTGATTCACCTTTTGATCAAGTTAAGGCAGACGACAATTTCGAGACTTCTCGACCTATCAAATGGATGGTCCGATCTTTAGATTATTATTTTTTTTTGGCTCCAAACCATGTTTTTTTTATTTTTTAAAGGAAATTTACCAAACTACACCTAAACTTTCCAATTCATGGTCGTGACAGGTATTTTGAAATTAAATCAAAAGATATTGGTAAAAGATTAAATACTTGGTCCCCTATGTGTATTTTGATAGGTCTCCCTTCGTTTAAATGATCGTGGAGATGATACAGATGAGTTGTCTTTTGGGTTCAAACAGATCCCTCAGGTTGGTTTGGCTGCATGACCAAATGCACATTTTGATCCCGTAGACCACCAAAAAATTTCCCTACATTTAGTTCTCAGGTTTATAAACATTTCATATAAATATTTCATATTGTGCTTAATTCATCTGACATGGAATAGCTACCATATTTTTCAAATTAGGAAGATTTAGTGTGAGAATAGCTAAACATATTTTTCAAATATTAGGAAGATTTTCACATAAATTTCTTGTGAACCATGCCTAGTTACAGCTTTTGACCATGGAGAAAGAAGGGGAAAAAAAAGGGAATAAACACCAATTTACAATTATATTTCAACTATAACAAAATTCAAATCCTAGACCTAGCAACTGAGCCAAAATATATTCTGCTGCCGCAGGATTACATTGTTCAGTTACTCCTTCGGATAAAACCCCATTTAGGATTAATTTTCGGACCCTAAATTTTCAGCATGTAACCTCTTCAACTCATAGACTAACCTCCTTCACTTATAGACTAATCTCAATTAAAAAATTTTAAACAAAAAATCCTAAATACCCTATCTATACACTTGAAAAAAAATGTCTCAAGATTGAAAAAAATCTAAATAACAGATTTACAAACACCGGAAACGGAAGGTCCAAAAATTGTGTTACAAGATGGACATTTTTTAGGTCGAGTCCATCAAATTTGAGGTACAGTTCTATAAAGCCCGGGCCTCGGCGTCACCCCCTTTTTGAAAACTTGTGGACAATTACGAAATCATTTACCATTTCGTTTTTCTTTTTCTTTTCTTTTTTTCTGATTTTGCTGAGTTCAAATCATTAACCACTTGAGTAATTGTACTGTAATATTACAGGGTCTGGAGTTCAAACAAATAAACAGTTCCTCTTTGGTAGCATTGAGATGCACATCAAATTAGTGCACGGAAACTCAGCAGGCACAGTCACCGCTTATTATGTAAGCCTCTCTCTCTCTACGTGGAGTGATATCAAAAACTGGAACAAGGACCTGATTCGGGGTCCAATTCCGATTCACCCAGTCAGACTTGGGCAATTCCTAAGCCAAACTGGGTAAGGTTTAATGAAAATAAAAATTAGAAAACCAGGATATTTAGGTGATTCCCGAATTAGAAAACCAGGAGATTTAGGTGATTCAAGGGGTTTTCACCCCAGGATAGGCAGATTCTTGATCCAGTCTGACTTAGTGATTACCGAATTAGACAGGTGACTTTTGATTCACTGCTGAAAAGTGTGACAGGGTGAAGACAATTATCATTCAGTACCTCTCCAAACCAATTTTCATCCTGTTAAAACTCAATTCCAACTTATGAAACAATGAAAACCCTCCAATGCACCAGGTTTCAATTTCTACAGCATTGACCAGACACTCAAAAACCATGTTATGCGGATATTTAGCAGTTGAATTTTTTTTGTCAATAGCTCTTGATTCACCTTGTGATTGATTCAAAAAATAAAAATTACAAAAGAAATCAATTTGAACTCTCAAAAACTTTAGACCTCATCATCGAATAGGCAGAGATGGCCCTGAGATGAAGGAGCTGCAATCCAACAAATTGACGCTGTTTTGGAGAAATCGACCAAAAAAAAAATACAGAGAGAGAAAAAGTTAAGTCCTTTTTCAGGCCCCAGTGAGTGCAAGGTAATTTTAGTCCTCGTTTTCTAAATATAACTTTTATGTCTCCTCTTCATAGATTTACCCTTTGATCAATGAATTGAGAAAGACTCACTAGAACATGACATAAATATAACTTTTATGTCTCCTCTTCATAGATTTACCCTTTGATCAATCGATTGAGAAAGACTCACTAGAACATGACATGACCCAAGTGGTGCATCCAACCTCTCTCCATCACCATTCATCCATTGTTAGGGCCAAGATAGAAATACAACCAGAGACTTCCTATAGCCATAGAGCGCAGAACGTTTGCCCTTAAGAATGCGTCCGCTCCCCTCTGTTACAGTATGTTGATTTAAAATTGAGGTGGCTTCAACTATATGCTCTAATTAGGTCACCATGAATGTGCAGTGCTCATCTACAGGCCCTAAGCATGATGAAATCGACTTTGAATTCTTGGGAAATTCAAGTGGGCATCCCTATATAATCCACACAAATGTTTACACGCAAGGTATTGGCAGCCGGGAGGAGCAGTTCTACCCATGGTTCGACCCAACTGCAGACTTCCACAACTACACAATCCACTGGAATCCTAGTCAGATAGTGTATGTTCCTCGACTCAATGGTTTCTTTTATGTGTATCAGGGGGGTGGAGAGAGAAAGTATTTGATCAATATGTTCATGTGGGTGCACATGCGCACGATAGAGAGACCATTTGAGTCTATTAGTTCATGATCAAGATCTTTGGATTTTCTACTAGGGCCTAGTTCATAAGTACCTTCATAGTCACCATTGCCATCACCATCATCATCTGTAATTTGTGACTTTTCTCAGGTGGTTTATCGACGGACTGCCCATCAGGGTTTTCACCAACAACGAAGCAATCGGGGTGCCATTCCCTAACGAGCAAGCCATGAGGGTCTACTCAAGCATATGGAATGCAGATAACTGGGCCACAAGAGGTGGGCTTGTCAAGATAGATTGGACCAGAGCCCCCTTCATAGCCCGGCTTAGCCGGTTTAACCCACGGGCCTGTGAATGGACTGGGCCCATAAGCCTGACGGCTTGTGGCTCCAATTCCCCAGCTAATTGGTGGACAAAACCAACTTATCATAAGCTAAGTTACAGCCAAATGGGTCAGCTAAAGTGGGTCAGAGACAATTTCATGATATATGATTACTGCAAGGATACAAAGAGGTTTAATGGCCGCATGCCTAGAGAGTGCTCCAAACCCATAATCTAAGGACAGAAACCAGACCACTCCACAACAAGAGACCAATCTGTTCATTGGATAATAATAACCCTCATTTTTCATAAATGAGTGAAATGGCCCCATTTCCAAAGGTCAAAATGTGCTTATGGACTGTTATCAGTAATCCAGAAGCAAATGAAGGAAACGTTGGATAATTTTAGGGGTCATTTGGTTTTTCTTTTATTCGTTTACTTCCGTTTAGTTCCAATTGATGAGCTTTCGGTTCCAGTTGGTGGGCTTTCAGTTCCAGTTGGTCGGATTTCCCATCATTTTGCTATGCAAAGAAGGATGTAATAAATCTCAGAATTGTGGACTTGGAATTAATAATCTTATCTGTGAATTGATTTAATTGAATTTTTTATTATATTTTTTAGTGGCTCATGCACAAGATGCTTGGGTGGTAACTTTTTTATGCTTTGGAATTTTTTATGACCAAGAAGCACTAGTCCACAAACGGCCAATGTACTCCATCTCTTCCTCTCTCATTTCACAAAGCCCAGTGGGTTACTTGTCATTGTTGGTCCACAATTTGATCAACTTACAACTGTGAGAACGTACTCTAAGAAGTAGGAAGTACTTGCTATTAGGGATCTGGTAACTATCTATGTGATCCATACTTTCCATGCTTATTCAACCAGAATTTAGATATTTAACTGATGATTACTTCAACCCTCAGAGCACATTCTTCAAGGCAAAGACCAATGCAACAATGTAACCCAAAAGGATATTCTACCACCAATAAAGTGAAGATGGGCTACCTTAAAGGTTCATCTGACTCATCGTCATGACTATACCTTGATAAATCACACTAAATCAACCCCTAGAAGGAGTCTATCAAGAAATTTCACTGCGATATGTCACACTGTCGATCACCCTTTTAAGCCCCTAAGCTAACAGCTACTAGAGGCATTGATCAGCACAACGAAACAATCTATCAATAAGGAGGCTCTAATTTGCATTCAGCAGCCACATCCAAACCCTTCTTACCTTAAGGTCATCTGCCGCTGGCCCTACTATCGGATGGAGCTTAGTACCGGGCTTAGCTCTTCGCCCTGAGCTCTGCACTCACGGCCGCTACCCGAAGCTATCGGCCTGAGCTCACGGACCGGCCCTATCGGAGCGAAGGCTATTGGTAGGGCCTGATTTCTCATCATCCTGAGTCGGCCCGATATGGGTGACCAGGTGGGAGGAATCCTCTCTCGAACAACCGCGGGCCCCACACGCATGTGTATGTGTGTGTGCGTGTAATGCAGATAAGAGAGATTTTAATCGACAAAGAAGGACTCGAACACCTACCTTATCGTTTTGGGCTCGGGGGACATGTTCGGGCGATTCACCCTCTTATATCATCTCGAAAGCGCCTCCGGCTGTCCTTATAGCGCGGTTTGAACTCGGCTACCTCATTTACTACACAGCACTCGGATCCACACAATAACAATGGTCTTCAGGTCAGGGTATACCTTTTGGGATTTCCTCCTATTGGTAGTTATATGGTGGGTTGAGGGGTCTACCCTAGGGGTTAGAGTAACAGAGAAAAAGAAGAAAAGATAGAGAAGAAAGAACAGAAAAAAGAAGAATGAGAGTGACTTGGTGGAGGGTTTTTCTTTTAGAGGTAAAAAGAAGAAGAAGATGAGAAAGAAGAAATGAAGATATAACCCGAAAATTGGGCAGCCTCCCGGCACAACCTCTTGCAAGAGGTATTATTGGAGACAGGGAAAAGTACCAGGCACGAAGCCTTGGTACCTGAAGGATTTGGAAACTGGGGTTACAAGTCTGAGCCTGTAACTATGTCACTAAACCAAAAAGCCCCCTAAAAAAGTGTGTGAGAGAAAGAGCGAGAGATGAAAGCCTCTCACAACTTGAGTATTGTGTGACTCGGTGGTTAGAGTAGTGGAAGGGTTAGAACTCTAAAGAAAGTTAATTCAGAATGACCCCAACCCGAGTGATCGAGTGTAAGAGAATCAGTGTATCTTATGACCTGACTTCACTATACGAGCTGATGGTTAGAGTAGCAATCCGAGAGTTAAAACCTAAGGCACTATCTCAGGATGACCCCGACCTGAGTGTTCAAGAGTGAGAGAAGAGATAAGTAAAGAGCGAGAATAACAAAAGAAAGATTAGAAGTAAAGAGATGGGGCAAGAAATAAAATGTAATGGTTTTTAGAAAGAGAATAGAAGAATTTTAAGAAGATGAAAATTTTTAAAAGAGAGGATACAAATTTAGAGAGAAAGATTTAAGAAAAGAGAGAGAGAATAAGAAGTAAGATGAAGAATTTTAAAGGAGAGGATAAAATTTTAGAGAGAGAGAAAATTTTGTGTGAGAGACAGAGAAAGTTTTAAGAGAAGAGAAGGGTTGAGAGAGATAAAGAAATAGAGAGATGAGAAAGAGAAAGTAAGAGAATAGAGAAAGGAGAAACGAGAGAGAGAGAGAGAGAGAGAAACTTTAGCAGAGAGAGAGAGAGAAAGTCTTTACAAAAGAAAGATTGAGAGAGGTAAAGAGATAGAAAGATGAAAGAGAGTAAGAGGATGATTGAGAGGATTTAAAAAAAAAAAAGAGATTGAGAGATTTTAAGGAAAGGGAGATAAAGACGAGAAGAGAGAAGAGAGATAATGAGGTTAATGAAAGAGAGAGAAACAGAGACGTGAAAATAGAGAGAGAGGGGTTGTTCGTGAGAGAGAAAGAGAGATTGGGAGCAGTGCTGCCCATGAGTGTGTGGAGAGAGAGAGAGAGCTCATGAAATTCTCTCTGAGTGTGTGGAGAGGGAGACATATGAGGGATTGAGAGATTGGGTACGTGAGGAAAAGAGATGAGATTTGAGAGAGAAAGAGGGAGAGAAAGGTGGCGGGATAGAGAGGGAGAGAAAGGGTGGTTTACATGAGAGAAAGAGTTAGAGATTAGAAATATAAGGAGAGAGAAGTATTCGAGAGCGAGAGAGATATGTGAGATGGATTGAGAGATAGAGACGGAGTAAAGAGAGAGATAAAGAGAGACCGTGAGGGAGTAAAGAGAGAGAAAGAATTAGAGAGATATATGTTATGTGAGGAGAGAGAAGAATAGAGGGTGATTGAAAGAGAATGGGAGAACGAAAAGAGAAAGAGAGAGAATTTTGGAGGTAGAGAGATTGAGAGAGGAGGATGGGTCACGAGACCCGTTGTGGGTCCGTGCACAGTAGGAGAGAAGAGAGATTGAGGGAGAAATAAGGGAAGAGAGGGAGTGGGGCAGCAGTCACGGACCCGTTGTGGGTCCATGCACAGTAGGAGAAGAAAAGAAGAGAGATTGATGGAGAAATAAGGGGAAAGATGGAGTGGGGCAGCAGTCATGGACCCATTGTGGGTCTGTGCACAATAGGAGAGGAAGAGGAGAGATTGAGGGAGAAATGAGAGGGAGTGAGGCAGCAGTCACGGACCCATTGTGGGTCCATGCACAGTAGGACAAGAAGAGAAGAGAGATTGAGGGAGAAATAAGGGGAGAGAGGGAGTGGGGCACCAGTCACAGACCCGTCGTGGGTCTGTGCACAGTAGGACAAGAAGAGAAGAGAGATTGAGGGAGAAGTAAGGGGAGAGAGGGAGTGGGATCAAAGGGAAGGGGGAACGGTGATAGAGAGAGAGAGAGAGGAAAGTAGGGGAGAGAGAGATGGTAGGGGAGAGACATAGGGAGAGGGATCAGGAGATAGCAACAAGAGAGATTTTGAGAGAGAGAGGAGAAGAAGGATGAGAGGGAGAAGAGATGGGGCAGAGCTACTCGTGAAAGAGAGAGAGAGTTACGGGAGAAAGAGAGTGGGGGCGGCAGCCCTGCTGCTGCGAATATGGTGAGAGAAAGAGAGAGAAGGAGGACTCGGACCCGCCGTGGTTCAAGTGGAGGAGAGAGAGAGGAGAGAAAGAGAGAGAGGGAGGGCTTGGACCCGCTGTGGGTCCAAGTGGAGGAGAAAGAGAGAGAGAGAGAGAAGGGGCAGTGGGTCTGAGTGGGAAAGAGATGGAGTGGGGGCTGCTGCCCGTGAAGGTGGGGAGAAGAGAGAGAGAGAGAGTGGCAAAGGCTCAAACCCCGCTGTGAGTCCAAGTGTTGAGGGGAGAGATAGAGTGAGGGAGAGAAGGGGCTCGAACCCGCTGTGGGTCCAAGTGGAGGAGAAAGCGACAGAGAGAGAAAGAAAGAAAGAAAAAGAGAGAGAGAGAGGAGAGAGGGTGGACCTAGGCGGCTCGTGTTTGGTGCTACGTCAACGGTCCCTTTGCATGTGCTTGAGAGAGAGAGGTCTTGGCCTTGGTGGGTCAAGACTAGGGTCTAAGGCTTAGGTGTATGGCTTACGTGGGTTGGATTGAGGTATGGGAACTAGTGTGTATGGTATAGGGTAAGGTATAGCATTACTAAGGTGTAGAGGATGCTATGGTGTATGGGGTAATATGGTGCATGGTGTAAGGTAGGGTGTAGGCTAACTAAGGTAGGGTGTATGGAGTAGGATTGGAAGCTAGGGGTTCTAAGGTGTATGGAAGTTAGGAGTCCTAAGGAGTATGGTATTGGGAGTTAGGACTCCTAAGGGAGTGGGAATTTTGGGTTTCTAGGGAGTGAAGGGTTCTTAGGGGTATTTTCTCTCTACAGGAAATATTTCTCTCTCCTCCCATCGTAGTCTTGAACTTGAAAGCAAAGCAAAAAGAACCAGCCTAAGCCTTAGAATTCTCAAGCTTCTCATTAATTTCTAACACTTTCAATAGAAATCAAGAGAGTTATTACAAATGACTTGAGTTCCTTATATAGAGCAACCACAAAACAAGGGTGGAATGCTCAAAAATACCCAAAATTGTCAAAAAACTACACATTTTATGAATTAAAATATTAATCCCGTTTTTGGACCAAAAGATCAAAATACCCTAATGTACTTTTCAACAAATGACAAAACCATCACTCCATGAGGGGCCTCTTGCCATTGTTAGGCCTCGGGACCTTTTTGGACGCTTATATTGGTAATTCGGGCGAATAATCGTCGTAGAATCAATGCTTGAACTATTGCACATGTTCGATACCCTTTGATAGTTTTGAAAATGATTTTTTAGGAAGAACCCAAAATCCGGCCAAGTTCCATAAACTTGTGATTCTTCGACACCAATCTGGCATGATATATGACGCTCCAAGCCTTCATTTTGATCACAAATAGAAGGGGATACTATCACGACTATTTTACAATAAATTTCGTCCATTTTGGTTTCCGTTTGAGCATATTCCAAATTTGGGAAGTCGTCGAAAAATGGGATTCCGGAGACCAGAAAAGTATGTCATTTTCGACTTCAAAATTCGTGTCATCCGGCCTCCAATCATATATAAAAATTATATAAAAGTTGTAGCTCTTCGAAGCACGGTCGCAACAAGCCCATACTTGTGACGATCCGACATCGGGATCTTGAGCTATGGCCTCTCAAAGAATTGGATGTTCTTCTTTATAAAATCTGAATTTTCATGTTTTGAGCTCTTCCTCTCTCTATAAATTCTCTCGTTTTGGGCTACGCCATGACACGTGCCATATGTCAAAACGAGCGGGTCCTAGAGATCTAACTCGTGTCCGAATTTGAGCTTAATTTGACTCCAAACAAGTGAGTTATGAGCATTTGAAAATCATCCTGAAATGTATAGAAACTGATTCACCCACCGCAATAGTGTAAAACCCACCATTATATGGTAAGTTAGGCCCATAATGGTCCCAGAGGGTCCGATTGAGCCAAAATTTGGTACCTGGGGATTTTTCAACGTTTCGGATCCAATGGCGGTGATCAGATACTGTTTTGAGACCCAGAAAATAGGGCTATAGTTATAGGGTGTATTTTTAGTATGATAGGAACTGGATTTGAAAACCAAGTTTCGTCTTGATCATATCAAAACTCGTCAAAATGCAACGAAACTTTGTGGGTGTCCCTAGGGTATCAAAAACTACCCCCTCATGCAATTTGAGGTCATTCTGTCACTTCTTCAAAGGTCGCCCAGTTTTAGGCCTATTGCTACAGTGTTCTCGTGGTCTAGCAGCATCTTGGGCACCGGCGGGATCAGGTTACTACCGGCTCTCTCTTTATTCGCTCCGGAGATACATGTACGTCAAAAATGACCTATAACAGCTATCTCAAGCTCAGCTCTTCCAATCGCCTCTTCGCCACCGCCCCTTAATCTATTATATTAAAGTGTAAACCACTTTACCCATGTTGTTTGCTCCTACTCATTGGATTGAGGATAATATAATATTATCCACCAAAACATCAACATTGTCATAGGCCATTACCAAATAATTTGTCTACAATCCCAGTCTCCCCATTGTATGCTGTCAAATATAGAAGTTCACACACAAGATTGTTCACAAACAGCTCACACAAGATCGTTCACAAACAGCTCAGCATGTTAAACAGTGAACATCACGTCATTTATCATCCTAGGCTTTGCACAAGGCCCTCACAAGGATAACAAACCATTATCCTTGGGGCCTTCACTTTTCACCCATAGGGACATGAGAATCACTCACCTCCACCAACAATAGAGGTCTTCTGAAAAATTCATTAAAGAAACATCTTGAATCCTCAACCAAAGTCTTGCAGCAAGGTCCCTACCATCTACAAGTATCCATTTTGAATTATCTATAATCAGACCAAGGATGCATTATTGCAGTTTCTTGATAGTAAAATATTATTGCTTACCACATGTCCATCTCTTAGTTAAAGTCGGGACTTTGGCATTAAAGAAGGTACATATTGCATTATCCTATATCAACTTCTACTGCACAATGGAGCAAGAAGCGACAAGAAATCAAGCATTCAAATCTGTCATCAAGTTTTAAATCCAAAACTGAAAGCTTGACACTCATATGTTAACTGAGCAGGGGTGAAATCGGCCTCTGTTTACAGTTTTCTCTGGAGAAAATCGTAGTATCTTGGTTTAGCAGTTTAATAAGATTATGTAACATTTCTTTCCGCCAGTTTAGCCAAATGTAACGTCACAAACTCTATATCCAAGGAAACAAATCTAGAGGGCAAAGAGATCAACCTTATCTTTCCCTTTGACCAGAAAGAGGAAGTATAGTTGGCCTTTAGAAAGTAAGTAGACACACTTGAATCTAGACACAAGAGCTTCCCACCAACTAATCAGAAATTATATATGAGCTATCCAAATGGAACTAACACATTTACCTTATGGCCCCTACTCTCTAAGAAGACTATGACCTTTCATGTTAAAACCAAAGACTGTATCTCCTTTTCTACCCACCTCCACATTGCAACTGGAACTCCTATCCCAAACAGCCTACCCAAACTCTTGTAGGGTCCAAATCAATCTCTTTCATCCTATTCATCTCATCTCAACCTGAGCTAAAGTCCCCACAAATTAAACTTTATCCTCCTCTCAAAAAATGGAAATAAGATCAAACAAACACATCTCATATCCTTCCGCACGAAACCCTTCAACGGTCACAGCAGAAAATAGAGTTTGCTCACCTAACCCTCAACTTCTCTCTAATATACATTGGGCCTGTACTTCGTGCCACATTGTGCTTCCTTTCCTAATAAAAAAAAGCATCTTCATGGATCTTCAAATAGAATACCAATGGGTGAGGCAGCTAGCACACTCCCAACCATCGTATCGTACAATAATGATCATAGCTCAAAACTGATACATTAGATGGACCAAGGTGTAACCATAGTATGTATTCCCTTTGTTTAATCTTCAAATCCCCTCACCCAAAACCTTGGTTCGATTGACATTGCGAATGCCACCAACTCATAGTCTCCTCTTTGACCTCTGAGGCGCTTTTCTCAGTGAAAACTTTTCCTTTGAGACCCCTATATCATCCAAGCAAGAATAAAATGCATGCATTCTCAAAACTGGGAAACAGTCAATTGCCACAGAGATCTCAATGCATTGCAAAACACAAGGTACATTTTTCAACTAAACTTAACCCTTAAAACGCACCATTTACAAATCCGTGAACACCCATGACTGCTATTTCCACAACTCAAAACAGTGCTAGTATAAACAATGACAGAATTCATAATGATTAATGAAATATTAGAAAAGCACAAACCCCCCAAGTTTAGGTGCTCGAACAAATCACTGCATTCAATGCAGCACGCCACACTCTTGCAACCATACCATTTATCTTATTTTGTTTGATCCTTTCTAATATTTATTTAGTAACAAAATGTCAGCTTTCATAAAAAGCTCTAAAGGAAACAACCATTAGGCATGGCTCAAGGCACAGATATACCAAAATATCATCCACTAATCTTTTGCGGATATTCGTGTTTTAAAAGTCCATCTATAAAAATGATGTGAAACTTTTTGCCACAACTTTTACTGAATTATTATATGGACCCGGTTTCAATGCGGCCAGGCCCGCATATGTAGAAATGCGGGCCCATTAATAAATCTATTTTTGAGATGGATTTTTGGACTTAATTTTTAAAGACATGTAATCTCTAACATGGAGATCATGAATATGAATAAATAAATAAATTTTAAAAACCATAAATGTTAATTCTAGTAAGAAAACATTTGAACCGTTAGTTTCTATTGTTTTCAGATGGAACACCTACTTGCATCCATCTTTAAGATGGATGCTTTACACTTTCTGGACAGTATATGTAGAAATGCGGTCCAGCCCGCATGAAACAATTTTCCTTATTATATACAATGACAGGATTTGAAGACAAAAAATAATTCAGCCATATGAATCAATCTTAAATGTTTTCACTACAAATAGCAAATTTCAGTATAAAAAGTAATACCAGTCCCTTAAATTAAGATTTTCAAATAAAATCAGAAGCAAAATAAACACAGATTCATGCTATCCATTGGAAAATTGAAATGAAAAGAATATTCAAGCCACTTCAAAACTTACAATCTCTCAATCCATCAAATTCCACAACAAAAAAGGAAGAAGGAACCCATAATTATTGACACAAAAGAAGAACAAGTAAATAGCTCTCTCTATCTCTCAAAACCAAATTCAAACGCCCGGTCTCTCACTAAAAACCCAACTAGGATTGATTGGATGAAATACAGAGCCAAACCCCCAAAGTAATAAGAGCTGTACCCATTAAAGCATACAAAACACGCATCTCTTCACCTAAAACCATGGCGAAAAGAGCAGTAGAGGCAAAAGTAACAGCATTTGTTACAGGAACTGCAACTGAAATTGGGGTTTCACTTAAAACAAAGAAGAAAGAAGCAGAGGCCGTGAGATTCAATAAGAAGGGAAGAGAGTATTGCCATGTTAATAGAAGGAAAAACCAGTCCTTTAAGTACCTTGTGAGGAGTCTAGAGAGAGAAAGTGGTTTGGTGGGTTTGGGCTTGAGGCGTAGCTTTTGGTCCCAAATGAGAGCGCCCCTTCGCATGAGGGCATTGGTGGCGCCCCAAACCAGGCCTATCACGATCATGGTGCCTGACGCCATGGGGTTTTAGAGAGAGAGAGTGTACATTTTTAGAGTGAGAAAGTGGGTCAACTCTGTGTTCCTGTGATGCACAAAAATGGGCTTTAGCCTATGAAATTTTCTGCAGACTACCGCATAAAAAAAAAAAGGAAAATTACAAAGGCTCTCCTGAAGGGCAACCTTTCTATCCTTCCTCTGCAGCAGAAAACTTACATATTTTTCCTTATCCAACCGTCCATTTCGAATGGAGGGCTAAGATTGCCCCAATCACAATGTCTGTCTTTATACTATTTTATTTTTATTTTTTTCTATAAATTATTTTGACACCAAAATTTGAATATCCAATCCTCCATTAAACTTGCACTAGCAAAAATATTAAAAAAATATTTTCAATTAAATAAAATAACCAAAATACCTTTGAAAATTTCAAAAGATATTTTGATCATTATATTTTATCAAAAAATTATTTTTAATATTTTTTGAAGGTACGCCCTAATGAGGAGATAGGACGTACCAAATTTCATATTTACATAATTTGTATAAAAATACTAAAAAAAAATACTTTGATACGTCGGATCAAGATCAAACGGTAAGTAGCTCTTTTAATCAAAATTGAAAGATTGGATGGTAGGAAAAGCATAGATCTTCTATGTTGTAGAAGAAGTATAGAAACATTTCCCCCATCTAAAAACAATGGAAACCAAACTGTCCAAATGATTACTTATTATAATTATTATTTTTAGTTTTACAAAATTATTTATTAAAAAATACCTATCTTTAAAAATTAAGTCTTAAAATCCATCTCAAAAATAGATTCATTAAGAAGCCCTCATTTCTATATATGCGGGCTTGGCAGCATAGAACCATATCATTTCTTTGCACTCGTCCCTTTAATACGTTTTTAATAAAA